CCCTGCCCTGAAGGTGGTCACCCTGCCCTGAAGGTGGTCATCCTGTCCTGAAGGTGGCATCCTGCCCTGAAGGTGGCATCCTGTCCTGAAGGTGGTCATCCTGCCCTGAAGGTGGTCATCCTGCCCTGAAGGTGGTCATCCTGTCCTGAAGGTGGTCACCCTGTCCTGAAGGTGGCCGTGGCAATCTATGATGCTCAGGTGGGATGCTCTGGGCTCCTGGGGCTGGAGGCAAAGAAGACTCGTCCACTCTCAAGAGTGACCTGTGTGTAAGGGCTTTAGCGAGGACATGTGTGGAGTCCAACACCCAGGAAGACACTGGCCCTGCTGCCCCCAGGCTGAGTGGCCTCAGCAGACCGTGCAGTTTGTCCTGGAATCTGTCAGGGCTCTCCTGAGTGGACAGTGGACAGTCTGTTGTCACTTGCTGGCTAGTCAGCCCCACTCAGGCCGACCCTAGGCACACAGATCAGGCTGCTGTGACCCCTCGGGGTTTCACAGTCTGTCTTTAGGAAGGAGACTGCCAGGCATTTCTTCCTAGTCTGTCTCAGCGTGGGTAGCTGGTGAATTCATATCGTATGGCTTTGGGTTTGCAGCGCAGCTCCTTACCACCAGGGCACATCTAAAAGCAGATGAAGTTGCAACTAGAGTAGAGGGAAGAGCCAGGTTCAAGACGGTGGGCAGGAGGGAAGTGGGCAGGTGGTTAGATGCCTTCTGCATTAAGGAGGAGGGTAAGAAGGTGCTGGGTGGCTGCCCCGCACCGCCTCCAGCCTGAACTCCAGGTCCGCTCAGTGGCCAGCAAGGAAGCAGCGGCCACAAGTGAAGCCGTCTAAGCAGAGCCTCCCATCAGTCACTGAAGTTTCAGGGAGTCGCTTCCTTGACAAGAGCTCCAAGAATGAACTTTCAATAGGAATATTTGGGCTGAGAAGACACTCAACACACCATCGGCTGAGCAACAAGTCAAGCACTGGGCAACATCTTGACAGAAGGGAATGGAATGTGGTGGGATTTCTCCCTGTCCTTTCTTTGAGCCTGGCATGATTTCTGACCACCTGTGTGCATTTGTGGCCTTCTGAGAAAGGGGCTTTTCAAAGCTCTAACCTCAAACTATTCTTGACCTAGGATGGTGCAGCCGAGGCTTTCTGATCTTGTAACATCACCTGAAAGTCAGCTGGGGGAGGTGCTGACTTCTGTGAAGTGATTCCCACGTTGGCAGCTCTGAGTCCGACGAGGGCAAGTTCTGGTTCAGTTGAGATTCTGCTGCAGGGCTGAAATGTGTGTGATTTACTTGCTCATTTTCTTCTATTATCCCGTTAATGACATATTTCCATGTACATTTGTCTACAACTTCTACATTATTTGGGTCGGTACTGATTGTGCAGTCTTTACCCATCACCTAACAGTAAAGGTCAATGTTAAAAAAAACATAATTCTGGGTCACCGGCATGACTCGGTGGCCACACCCCCAGAGCTCCCGAAGACGAAAATGATTGTAATGTCGCTTCCACTTTAATGCTATCGTTTTGTTCCTGAATTTTCACATTAGCTGCATGAAACTAGACAGATGTAAATATATTTGCACATGAAACTAGGCAAAGATATCCATTTGGACGGTGGGCATGGTACTGTGATTTAAAGGTGTGATACTTTTACTTTTTCTAGATGTTTAAGTTGTGGTTCTCTCCAGGGATGTGTGGGAACTCCGGCTTACAGGTAAGGAGGACAGAAAGCATCACTAGGGATCCCTCAGGTGCTGCTGTGGAAGGAAGTCCACGGGAAGGTGACGCTGTGAGCTGCCATTCTGGTGACAGCACCTCAGGACTTGAACCTGGACCTCCAGCAGAGACCTGAGCCACCACTGCCTCCGTGTAGATCTGCTTTGACGAGCTGGTTCCTGCGATTGCCGAGGCCCCCGGGCTTGAAGCGTGTGGGTCAGGCTGGACACTCGGTGAAAGACGCCGGTGCAGCCCGGAGTCGGCCTGCAGGCCAGCAACGACCCTGGAAACGACCCCGTTTCTGTGCTGCAGCCTGGAGTGCAGGACGCTTCCGTCTTCACGGAGTCTCAGTGCTTGGACCAACTGATTGGACAAGGCCCAGCCACGTGACGGAGGTCACAGGATTACAGGTGTTACCCACATCTGTGAAAGGCCTTCACAGCCACACCTGGGCTAGCATGTGGCCAGACAGCAGGGCACCCAAGTCTCGCCACAATGACAAAGACGCCTGACCACCCTGGTGGTGCAGTGGTTAAGTACTGGGCCGCTGTCCAGAGGAGCTGCTTTTCAGAAACCATTCAGGCGGTTCTGCTTTACCCAGCAGGGTCACTGGGAGTCGGGGCTGGCCCAAGGGTGGCGGGCTTGGTCTGGGGCAGAACCGGGATAGAGGAGCTGGCGGGGGGGTGGGAGGAGCAGCTCACATCCTGTCCCCAGACAAACAGCTGGAGTGGTGGCGCTGCCCGCGCCTGGGAGGCACCTGACTGGGGAGCAGGAAGCACGCTCGGTGCTGACTGTAGTCCGGCCTGCACTGGCCTGCCGGATGCCCCAAGGATGCGTGCCTTTGAGAGACACTCAGTCTTGCCCAGAGGGAGGATGGGATGGGAAGTCTATGTTTAGGCTCAGATTTCCAGCATCCAGACTACTTGGAACCATGTCCTCACACCCAAGCTCTGATGTTGCCATAGGGACTGCCACCTTGACCTGACGCCCATGAGGGAGACACAGCCTAGACCACCCCCAGGCAGCAGGGCCAGGACCACATAGGGCCTTCAGCTCTCACGCGTGGATGATGCTTCTGCAGCCCCTGGCGACAGGCTGCTTCAGGATGTGGGGCCTCTCCAGAGGATGTGGAAGGAGAGGGTGTGGGCAGACAGGGCTGGTCGGCCAAGCTCACCTAGTTCCCACCCACAACCAGCGACCATCGGTCAGTTCCAGGGCATGGCCACCTCACAGGCATCAGGAGGGCTGCGGTCTGTGGGATTCTGACACTTGCCCTCTGGCACACCGCCGGGAGGGTGTGAGCCCCCAACATTTCAGTTAGCATCTGTCTGCATCATCTAGAGGGAGTCGCTGGGGGGCAGGTGAACAGCCTGCTGGTAGGGGTGGACACGGGGCTGGTGAGCAGTCCCCAAGCGGAGGGACACAGGACTGCTAAGTAGTGCCCTGGTAGGGTGTGGACATGTGGCTGGTGGGCATTCTCTGAGAAGGTAGATAGGGGGCTGGTGGGCGGTCTCAAAGGAAGTGGACACAGGGCCATTGGGCAGTACCTTGACAGTGTGTGGACATGTGGCTGGTGGGCATTTTGAGAAGGCAGATAGGGGGCTTGTGGGCAGTTTCCAAGACAGTGGACACAGGGATGGGGAGTGGATGTGTGGCTAGTGGGTAGCCCCTGAGATGACAGACAAGGGCTAGTGGGCAGTGCCCGAGGGGAGTGGACATGAGGTTGGCAGGCAGTCCCCAAAGGGGGGATGTGGGACTAGTAAGTAGTGCCTTAGTAGATGTGGACATGGGGCCAGGGGGCATTTTCTGAGGAGGTGAACAGGGTACTGGCGGGCAGTATCCGGGGGAGTGGATATGGGGCCAGGGGGAAGTGCCCCGGTAGGGTATGGACATGAGGCTGATGGGCAGTCCCCCCGGACGGCCGCCCCCGCTCACCTGGTAGTGGGCCCAGCAGGCCTCCCAGATGCGCAGGGCCTCGGCCTCGGGGAACTCGCGCTTGAAGCACAGCAGCAACCAGCGGTGGCTGAAGAGCATCTGCAGGCCGTCCTCGCCCAGCGAGACCAGGTGCTGGTAGAAGCGCAGGTGCGTCAGGCGCAGCAGCTCCCGCAGGTACATCTGGGGGGAGGGCAGGCTGGTCAGCCTCACCTGCTCTGTGCTCTCAGTCCCCAGGGTGCACCACTCTGCCTTGGGCGCTTTCCACTGCTTCGGACGTGGGAGGTAGCACCGTAGAGCTCTGCGTGTCAGGCTGCTGATTCTAAGGCCAAGTTCAAGTCCATCTACAGGAAGGAGACAGGCTCCCCCAAGACACACAGCTTCAGAAGCCCCACAGCGGCTGCCAATCAACGTGGACCAGACAGCGGTGGTTTGGGTTTTGGTCGAGGCCAAGCGTGGCCCCAAGTGTCATACATAGTGGACGGAGGACAGAGAAGGCCAGAGCCAGCCGCCAGCACACAACTGCTGGTTCCTTCCACCCCCACCAGGCCAAGTGGCTGCCAAATCCCTCATTCCCAGAGCAGGAAGGGGACCTCTGGAACCCCAAGACTCTTCTCCAGCAGGAAAGGTCAGTGACAGGCTGTTCAGTGACATGGGACGAGACCTAGGCTACATATGACCACACCTGCTTCTCTGCCACCCATCTTGGGGGCTGCCTTGCCCCTGGCCCCCAGCGGGGTTCTGGAGACCCCCATGGTCACACAGCGTAGTCATTTAGAGACGCCGTGGTGTGTGTGTAGGGAGTCGTGGGCTAACGTGACGGCAGTGACCTTTCTGGGGAGGCAGGCGGGCACCTCCCACATCCTTCACGCTGTGAAGACCGCTGGCGCCTCAGCTCTGCCTTGGCCGCCACTTGATGACAATGAGTTCGTTTACTTGAGACAGGGCTGGGACTTCAAGACCCTCACACTCACTTCCTGCTCTTGACCTGCAGCCACGGGCACTGCACAGGGCCCCCCACAGGGTCCTGCGGGATTTCCCTCCAGGGTCCATCCTGAGCAGGAGGCCCAGTCGGCTTCTCTGTGCTGGGCCACGCAGGATGGAGCCCACTTGGGCACCGTGGGCACCCACGCCTCAGCGCCTCACCAGCTGCTGCTCCATGTCCTCGTCCCGCGGGGAGCTGACAAAGATGGTGTTCTGCATCAGCCCGACGAAGCACCAGAAGGTGTCTGCCTCGTCCAGGACCTCGGCCAGGATGGGCGCCACCAGGTCTGACATGCCCTGGGAGTAGCCGATGGCCGGATTGTACACCGCATAGTTAAGCAGGATCCGCCTGGCAGCAAGGGCAGGGAGGTGAGCAGGGCCGGCCCCAGTGTGCCGTGCCCATGCTGTCCACCCAGGGCCTGTCCCCTGACCAATGTGCCCCCCTGGGTCCCCATCGGTGCCTTCACTGTCCAGGCACCTGGCAGTCCTCAGGGCTGCCGCTGACCCCAGGCCCTGGAGCTGGCCTCATGGGCTCCTGCTTTGCCAAAGTCACCTGTTGCCATGGAATCAATGCCAGTGCATGGTGACCCAAGTGCCACAGAGCCGGGACTGTGTGCCGTGAGGAGAAAGGCTTCAGCAGAGGAAGCTGGGACCCTCGCATCACCCAGAGACCCCACGAGCACTGGGGAAGAGGGGACGTGGCACTGGTCTCCACACTGCTGTCGACAGGGACTGGCCAGGCTGTAGCCACTGTCACATACGCAAGTCTCAGCTCTGCATGGCTTCAGGGGGACGGTGGGGACCTGGCCTGAGGACCACCCACTGAGAGCCATGCAGGAAAGCTTTTCAGAGCTAGGGTGAGCCCAGCCCGGGGCATCTGTAGGGGTCAGGGAGACCTTCTGCTGGACACTTCAGGGGGTGCTGTGGGCTCTGGAACGTTAATTAAGCACATTAGGTAGTTGTAATGTACACAGTACATCAGGTGTCAGCGGCTCTACCTGCACATGGACCTGGAAGAATGACCACCGCAGAAGGGTAAACCGAGGCCTGAGGTTCAGGTGGTGCTCAGGTTTGTGCACCTCATTCTCCCCACATTGGAATGGCCCTCCTGTCTATCTGCTGGGGGAGTGGTAAACCTCAGTGGCTTGTCATCCTCAGGGGGACCTGTGCTGGCTGGGAGTTGGGTGGGGGGCAGCACACCTCATGCTCTCTACGTTGGGGTTGCCCTCCCCTCGGAAGAACTGCTTGCTCCGGTCTGTGCGCACCACATCCTTGTCCACGGTGAATTGCACACGGCGCCAGAACTCCCGCTGCGCTTCTGGTGCCATGGAGAGCCTGCACGGGGACAGGAGGGCCAGCGAACATCAGCAGGCTGGCAGAAGGCAGACACACATCAGCACATGGTACCACTGGCACATGGCATCATCAGATAGATGACATCATCAGGTGCACTGCATCAGCCGGCGTGCTCACTGCGCCCGGAGCAGGAGCTGTGCTGTGGTTCCTACCGCCACCCGGCAGCCTGACTCGAGTGGGTGCTGCTACCCTCAACCTTGACTCAGCCTCAGGGCTCACAGCTCCCCAAGAGGACAGTGGGGCACAACCCACCGGTGGCGGAAGTCCTCAAGGACCCGGTGGCCCTGTAGGCTGGCCCTACCCCAGTGTTCAACGGGGTGATGGAAACTTCTAGAGCCCTGGTGTGTGAGCTAGAGCCTCACTGTGTGCAGCAGTAACTGTCATGTCAGTCTATTCCCAGAGACCCCGGCACACGACGATGGCGCACAGTGACAGCACACAGCATACAGCACAGGCACCTCAGGGACCCTCCCCTGCCTGCTGGGGTGCACGCCGATGGCCCACGGTGACAGCACACAGCACAGACACCTCAGGGACCCTCCCCTGCCTGCTGTGTTACCGTCTCTGCTGGATCTCGCTGTACTCCTTCCGCTTTTGTGCCCGCAGTGCCTCCCGCTCCTCTGAGGTGGACTCGTGGCTGTAATAGCGCAGCAGGAAGGGCCAGACCTCACCCCGGATTGACACATCAATGCCACCAAAGAAAATGGCCTGCAGGAAGCAGCCCGAATTGGAGGGGGGTAGGCTGGGGCAGCTCAAAGGCCACCCCCAGCCCCCAGTGCCCAGGTGGCAGGGCTCTGGTGTGCTGCTCACAACTGAGGCCTTGATTGGAGCGCTGTGATTTGCACATGTTTGGAAGGGGACTGGCCAGCCGCATTCCCACCCGTCCAGCCCAGCTCATTTCAATGTCAATGTTCCCCCCTGGGGCGGGTGCAGATTAGCGTGTGGTTCTCACGTAGTGGCCTAATCCTCGATCTTGGAAATGCTGCTTGTCACCCTTCAGAGCTGGCTGACACGGGTCCCCCAGGCCCTCTCGGCAGTTTCATTTTAGCCTTGTGGCTTTGATTGTTCACAGGGGACATTCACACAGCACCTCACACAAGGTACCCCTTGGCTGTGGCTCTCAGCCCCCTCCCAGGTGGGTCTCCTAGTGGGCCTTCCAGATAGGTTCCCCAGGTGGGCCTCCCAGGTGGGTCTCCCAAGGAGGTATCCTAGTGGGTCTTCTAGGTGGGTCTCCCAGGTGGGTCTCCCAGGGGAGATCTAGTGGGCTTCCCAGGTGGGTCCCCCAGGTGGGCCTCTCAGGTGGTGGCCCTAGTCGGTCCCCCAGGTGGGTCTCCAGGTGGGTCTCCCAGGGGGATCCCCTAGTGGGCTTCCCAGGTGGACCTCCCAGGTGGGCGGGTGGCCTACCTTCCGCAGCTTGTACTCTTCCTCCACCTGGCCCAGCTCATTGAGGTGACCAAGCCAGGCTGCCACGTCCAGCCGTTGGTACATGCTTTCCTCAGGGTGAGTCTCAGACGAGGGCAGCTTGGGACGCCGGATGGAGAACTGCATGCAGGTTTTCTCATCGGTGACCTGATGGACAGGGGGACAGTGTCCCACTCCTTGGCCTCACTTTTCCCAGGGCTGAAAAGCCCCCTCCTGAAAGGCAGGGAGCGTGGCCTGACTGGCAACTGTAATTGGATGCAATTAAAATGAAAAAACCTTCCTCCCCACTCTGGACTCCCCTGGCCGGACTGCCACCCCCCTTCTCCCACCCCAGCCCCAGAAGCGGGATTCCTGTGTGGTGCCCACCCCCACCCGCGGCCGGGGGCCTGCGATAAATTACATGTGATTGGCCATATACAAAGGGCGCGCTGTTTGGAGCAGACTCTGTGGGGCGGTCGTGATGCTGGGCGCAACGCCCTGACATTTCATTCCCAAATCAAAGGTTGTTCCCGGGAAGGGGGGGCGAGCCGCCATTGTAAGGAGGGCGAGCAGCAGGGGTCCCCGGTGGGAAGGAGGGATTTCAAAGTCAGTCTTCCTCCCCCATTCTAATCAGCACATACTGTATCTTGAAGGGATAATTGAAGCTCTCCTATCATTATTTGTATGTAGGTTGAACAAAATATGGCAGGAGGCCTTGTCAAAACATGAACTTCAAGTCCCCTCAAGCCTGCAGGCTGGGGCAGTTTTCAGACCCAAAGCTGGATCATTAGCCCCCGTGCACGACACAGAGTCTTCCTCAGGGACCCCCAGGCACAGGCTGAAGCCCTGGTCTGGAGGAGACTGGAACCTGGCCCACTTGAGGAGAGGGGGACAGACGAGGGTCTTGGCCACTGGTGTCTCCTTGCTGGTCCTGGGTCCAGCAGGAGGGGGCAGGGCCTCCAAACCCCAGAGTGGGTGCGACAGCATGTGCCTGTCTGTCGCGCCCACGGTACCTGGTCCCGGGGGTGCGTCTCGGTGCAGTACTTCCACTGCTGGAACACGTCTGCCAGCTTGTCCAGGCCGCCGTGGTGGAAGTGGAGGACCTTGTACTGACTCTCCCGGCTCGCCACCACCAGCTGACCGCTGGTGCAGGCCTCGTCACTGAGAGCGGTGGGCACAAGACAGTCACCAACTCCAGCACCAGGGCTTTTCAAGCTGGGGCCAGGGGCCACCCCAGAGACCTCCCCTCTGCCCATCCTCGCTGGACACTGGGCACGGGCATGACGGAGAGAAGGGCTTGGCAGTGTATTTCCAGAACTGGGTCAGTGCAAACCCGTGGACTGAAGTCCATCCTAAGCCGTGGTGGCGACCAGCAGCCCAGGACATGTGGGTCAGAGGTGCACTCCAGCTGCCCACCCGGGCACTCAGACGGCAGTGCTGGCCAAGGGTCCTCACCTGAAGAAGAGGCGGAGTGAGCGCATGTGTCCCAAGTCCACGCGGAAGACCCCACACGTCTGCTCCAGGGCACAGCCCCTCTGTGGCTCCTCCCAGCGCGGCGTGGGCACCAGCCCGTTGCTCTCTGGGAAACGCAGGCTGGTGTCAGTGCTGGGTGGGGAGCTGGTGGGGCAGACAGTGGGGGGTGGTCACACTTTCCGCTGACCACACCAGTCACAGGGCAGTGCAGAGGATGAGGGGAGACCAGGGACTCGCGGTAACTCACTGGCTGGGCTTAGCAGGTGCGCCTGCGGCCCTGTGGGCAATTCTCAGACAGAGACCAGCTGGAGTCAGGGTGGATGAGTGGACTCGCTTCCACTCTACCTGAGTCCAGCACAGGGGTCACTCCAGCTGGGGTCAGAGCTGCACTACGTGACAGTGGGCAGTTACTGAGCCCCTGAGCCTGTGCTGCTCATTAAATGGTGAAGACAGGTCAGGACAATGTGTAGAACCAGTGACCAGAGCGCTCAGCACAGGAGCTGTTTGCCGAGGCCTTCAAGGGGGCGGAACGAACCCCCGAAGCTACTGCCTTTAAACCTTCAACCAAAAATATCCCCTTAAAGCTTTTAAAACCAAACTGGTCAGCTTAAGGGTGAGGGGGTTCTGCCTCTGACACTACGCTTCTTTAAAGTACTGTTCATCGGAGGTCAAACTGACAAGGACAACTCGAAGGGTTAGATGAGGACCTCGTGGCAGTGGGTTTACGTGAACGACAGAGCGACAACGCAGAAAAGGAGAGTGAGAGGGCGGCACGCTAACATGTCACACAGGTGACCAGGACAGAAACGGAGCCATGCCGCTGAGCTGACCGGGACAGGAGAAGCTGCTGCACTGGTGTGTGTTGCATATATTGTCAACAACAGAGAAAACACTAATGATTTTAAATGTGTTGGTTCAAGAATCCAGATTTTCTAACTCTTGAGCTCGTCTTTTAATATTGAGACTAGGCTATAAACTCCATTCAAAAAGAAGGAAAGGAAACCAAAATGTAAGCGTGCACTTGAGTTGTTAGTCCTAACTGATAATGAATGCGGACGGGGCACAGCGTGGACCCGCGTTAGCCACTTTTCCATCCTTCCAGAGAGCCCACAGACTGGGCAGTGTCACTAATGCCAATGTTTAAGAGGAAATGGTGGCCCAGAGGGTTGATAACTGTCCCAGGGTCACACAGCAGAGCTGGGACGAGGGTCCAAGCAGAGTGGCTCTGTGACGCATGTTCTTATCACTGTATGTCACTGCCTCTACACCCACCGCCGCAGTGGCACGGCGGTCATAGGGCTCGGCTGCAGACCAGAAGGCTGGTGACTCAGACGCACCCGTCCCTGCCTGGGAGAAGGACGAGGCCACCTGTTTCCATAGAGAAATGACACATTTTCCTCATGTGGAGCAGTAGGTGGATTCGAACTGCTGCCCCTTTGGTCATTGTTGTTGCTGTGTGCCCTCCAACTGGAACCGACTCATAATTAGCCCTCCAGCGGGTTTTCAGTGCATTATAAATCGTAAGGGAGGAGACTTTCCGTCTTTCTCCACAAAGCAGCTGGTGGATTTGAACCGTGTGCTTCTGGGTTGGCAGGGAAGCTCCTTACCACTTGGCCACCAGAGCGCCCTTGAGTGGCAGAGAGTGTGTAAGGAATGAATGCCTGATACTAGGACCTGGCAGGTCTCCAGGCCCTGACCCCAGCCCCACACAGCAGCCCTGTGGGCACCTCAGCTTACTCTCCAGCACAGAGCCACGCTCACTGGAGGGCCCCGTTCCCAGCAGGGCTCTGGGCACTGAAGGAAGCGGCTTGGGACGGCTTGTGTTTAGTTCCTCCTCATGTGAACCTCCCCAAAGGGGATGACTTGCTTCTTGGACGTCCTGGTCTGGGTGTGCGGGGCAGGTCAGCAGGTCTCCACATCTATCTAAGGAGCTAGCAGTACCAGCTCTTCTGTGGGGACCCATCAGTCACATGAAGTCGACTGACTCCTGGTGTTCCTGTGTGAATGCACAAGGAGATTGCCAGGCCTTTATTCCTAGTGCCTGATTTACCATCTACACCACTCCGTGACCCCCCTGAGATGCAAGCCCTGACACTGATCGTCACAGTGCCAATGCTGCTTCACCTGACCTCATGTGCCTGGGCAGAGCTGGGCAACACGGGTGCTCAAGGACTGGGTCCCCGGAAGTACACGGCCAGGCCTTTCTCCCCAGGCACTTCCGGGTGGATTAAAATGTACAACTTTTCTGGGAGCAGCCAGGTGTGCTCATCGTTGGCACTGCCCAGGCACTCCCCCAGGAAACACTCAGATGAACACAGACAGCAGGAGAGGGCGGTGGTGGGAGGGCATGTGACTGGCCCAGAGTTCACACTGTCCAGGAAGGCCAGGGCCGGGAGAGGACTCTGACAGGAGGGCTGCACCAGGAAGCTACTGTCTGCAAAACAAGGCGAGTGGTAGGTCTGAAGACAGCCCCCCACCTCGCCACTTCATGCTGGGCTGTATAATCTGCTTACCCAACAATGTGGCCGCCTCGCGGAACACACACGCTTGTCCGCTCGGGCAGGGCATCAGCTCGCCTGCCCCAAACCCAGAGGACGGGCCACCAAGCAGCAGTATTTCTGCCTCTGCCCACCCCAGCCCTACTTGAGAACCTAGACTCCCCCGTGAGGCTGGGAGGACTGGTCACTGGGCATCGGGGGAGCCAGAGGGGAGGGTTGGCCAGCCCTCCTCGAAGCACCTGCTTTCCAGCAGAACACCCCGTGTTGTGGGGCCAGCAAGTCCACCCTGACTCGGTGTGTGTCCATGGGACAGCAGAACTGCCCGCTGGCTTTCCCAGGCGGGAATGGCTCACAGATCCCCACCACTCACACCCTCATTCTCTCACACCATCGAGTCAGAGCCCGAGAGCCCAACCCCCAGCAGGTTTTCAAGGCTGTGAGATCGCCCACCTTTCTCCCACAGAGCTGCTGGTGGATTTGAACCCCCACGGAGGCAGCCGTGGACTAGGCTGCCAGCTCCCCCTCGCAGCTCCACGTGGACCGCTGAGTCGGAACCGATCCACAGCTGACCCTCCAGCGGGTTTTCCGAGCCAAGGAGAGTGCCATCCTCCTCCTATAACAACCCTCCAGGTTGGAGTGCAACTTCCCATGGGATTCCTGGGCTGGTTCAGACTCATAGTGACCCACGTGACAACAGAATTTCCCCATGGGCTTCCCGGGCTGACTGGACACATCGTGACCCTCAGGGTGGCGCAGGGCTGCCCCATGGGGCCTCCTTGAAAACCAGATGAAGGGTTGCTGTGAGTTAGACTTGATCCCACATAAAGGATTTAGGGTTTTGATTTTGGGGTTTGGGGTTAGTTGCCTTTGGTCTCTAACAGCAGTGCACTTAACCACTGCACCACCAGGGCCTGGCCTCACTGACTCTCCAACTGCAGCCGGTACCCCGCAGGCTCAGGACCGTGCAGTGCCCACGTCATAGCAGAGAGCAGGGTCCTTAGGTGGTCCAAACGGCTAGGTGTGTGGCCGTGAGCCGAAAGGTTGACGGTTCCGATCCATCCAAAGGGGGTTGGGAAGACAGGCCTGGCAACGTCTTTGTAAAGATCAGTCACTGAGCACCTGAGACACGGGCTTCTACTCTGACACAGGCGTCATGAGCCCCATGACAGTCTAACACGGGCACAGGGCAACAAGTGGTTCAAAACCTGTGGCGGGAATGGAAATGAACAACGCCCGGGAGCTTTGAGGTCGTGTTTTTGTTGTTGTTTTGTGCCTTCGAGTTGGAACTCGCTCATCGCAGACTCTCCAGGCTTTTTGGCGGCCTTAAATAGCACAGGAGATTTGCCCACCCTTTTCCATAGAGCAACTGGTGGATTTGAACCCTGTCCTTTTGGGATTACAGCACAGCTTCTTACCACTACTAGGTCACCAGAGCTTCCTCTGAGGTCATAGAAATTTTTTAAAAAGTAAAAACCTAGGGAGAATTTGAAACGTGGAGTGTTTTAATTTTTTTTATTACTGTTTACTCAGATGACACAACCCTGCTTGCTGAAAGTGAGGAGGACCTGAAGTGCTTGCTGCAGAGGGTCAAGGACTGCAGCCTTCAATATGGATTGAGGCTCAATATCAAGAAGATAAAGATTCTCACCACTGGGCCAATTGGCAGCATCAGGATGGATGGTGAAGAGATTGAGGTTGTTCACAGCTTTAGTTTGCTCGGCTCCACAGTCAACACTCTTGGCACCAGCAGTCAGGAAATTAAAAGACGTTATTGCAATGGGAAAGTCTGCTGTTAGGGACCTCTCCAAAGTACTGAAGAGCAATGGTGTCTCTCTGGAGACTAAGGTGTGTCTGACACCGGCCATGGTCTTTGCAATCACTTGTTATGCATCAGAAAGTTGGACAATGACTAAGGAGGATAGAAGTAGAATTGATGCCTTTGAGCTGTGGTGCTGGAGAAGAGTATTGAGAATACCATGGACTGCTAGGAAAACAAACAGATTTGTCCTGGAAAGGGTCAAACCAGGTGGCTCCTTGGAGGCAAGGATTCTGAGGCTCTGTCTGACATACTTTGGACATGTTGTAAGGAGGGACCGGTCCTTAGAGAGAGACATCATGCTTGGGAGGGTGGAGGGACGGTGCAGGAAGGGAAGACCCTCTATGAGGTGGATTGATTCAGTGACTGGAGTAATCGGGATGGGAGTGTCAGAGACAGTGCGACTGGCACAGGACAGAGCAGAGTTTAGGGCTGTTGTACATACAGTCGCTGTGAGTCGCAAGCGACTCGACGGCACATAACAACAACAACAACAACAACTGTTTACTCAATCACAGTGGCTGAGTTTTGAGAATATGTGCTGCATATAATTTGGTTTCTTCATAAAATCATGACGTGGAGTCCATTCAAAGCCAAGGGTGGCTTACTCCAGCGATAAGTCCTCCCTGGACGGAAGGTAAACACGCTTCCCAGAGCGAGCAGGAGGAGGCTCAAGAAAGAGGAGGTGTCTTAGCCCGGTCATTTCAGAGCAGCAGAAACATGCAAGGCAGGAATCCCCAGGAAGTCAGTGACCTGGAGCGCTGAGCTCTCCACGATCTCTGTTCGCTGAACCAGCTGACGGCAGCAACTCCAGATGAAGTAGGATTTGG